AAAAAATCATGTCTGACCCCCACTGCCACTCCCATGCTCCACCCAGTCAGGGTTAGGTGTCCAGGTGAGGCCTCAGCACCTCATCAGAGGACCTGTGACACGACACTGTTATCCGTTATGTGTCAGTCTCTCCCACTGGTCCACAAACCGCTTGAAGGCAAGGCTAGACCTTTTATCGCTAAACTCCAGTGCCTGACACAGAGCAGATATTCAACAATGAATGAATAAATATTTTAATTTATAAAGTGCAATCTAAAATGAAGTCTAAATGTGGTTAAATAATAAAATATTGTGGTCGGTGGTAATTTGTGAATTTTGTGAACTTCAATCATTTCATCTACATTAGAACTTCTATTCATGAGAAGCAATAGTAAAATCTTTATGGTTGTTGAAATAATTACATGTTTACAACGGACAGACTGAAAAAGGTAGTCAAGCCCTAACTTATTTTTCAAACATTTAAAAATAAATGGTAGTTTTGAAAATGGCTGAAGATACTTTTTCATGGGTCAGTTTTTCACCTAACTGGTTAGTTTGGTGTCTATAGATGACCTACTCCACTGACTTCATGGGATGTCTCCTACCTTTAATATTCTAAGTCACAATTGGTACCAATCCCATGGGCAGGAGGGGATGAGGGTGCAGCAACAGAGGAGGACCTCCCATGTCATGTCCTTCTTCCACAACTTGATTGAGATAGAATAGTTGGAAATTCTGGAACTATGACTTACCTCCCAATGTCCCCGGGACTGGCCTGTTGATCACATTCAGTCCTCTGATTGTATCTGGCTCATTCCCACGGCTGTATAATCACCCATGTTTCTCCCTTTCCCCTCCTCTCTGTTAAGCGGGTTCTAAAAGCCTAGCATGGCCCCACTTCTCTTACTGCTCAACCTTACTGTACCTCCTGTGGCCAACCCCTGAACTGAGTGTAGTTGTTCCTGACAGAAGATAGAGGGCTCATAACCACACATTCAACTAATATTTATTGAGCACCTACTATGTGCTAGATACTGGTTTAGATGCTTGGAATGTGCTGGCAAATATCACAGACATAGCTCCCTGCTCTTGGTTCTGTTCTGACATTTATTGGTCTGTTGTGGCAGATACAGTACTAAGACATTTTTTTATATGCATTGATTCATTTAATGTTCCCCAAAAGCTTATAAAGTAGGTGTATTTTTATCTGTGCTGTGCAGATGAGGAAACAGTTTAGAGACATTAAATAGCAGGGCAAGCCCCACAGAGTGGTGGAATAGGGACTTGTAACTTGGTCTTTTTAATTCTAAGCCATATTTTAAACAAAGGGTCAGTAAACATTCTCTGTAAAAGACTAGATTGTAAATATTTTAGGCTTTATGGGCATATGGTCTTTGTCACGACCACTCAACACTAGCGCTGTAACACAAAAGTACCCATAAACAGTAGGTGAATGAATGAGCATGGGTGTGTTCCAAGAAAAACTTATTTATGAACATTGAAATTTGAATTTCCTATGACTTTTCACGTCACAGAATACTCTTCTTTTGATTTTTTTAATGATTAAAACATTTAAAAGCCATTCTTACTGGTACTAAACAGAAAGCAGTCCAGATTTGGCCCACAGGCTTGCCAGCTTCTGCCCTAAACCGTTTTTCCCTGGGATGGAAAGTGTGTGTGATAAAGGGTGAGGACGTGACAAATGAATGATGTTTTGTTTTCTAGTGGTGAAGCTGAAGTAGCTCCCTGCTGAACCCCAATCTCAGATATAGAGAGCACCTAGGATTTACAGTCTGCTTCCAGGGGGCCTATTTGCATTTCCGGTTGGTCTGGAACATCCGGGTCACTACAGGCCCTCCTGGTAATCCTCACCTCCACTTTGGAAGAGTCCAGCCTCCCAGTGCTGTGCAAGTCTGATGAAGTTTCTCCCTCTGGTCTCAGTGCAACATCCTCACATAGAAGTGAGGCGGCTGCGAGATATACTTTCAAAGAGAAGTTATTTCACTGTTGGTTGGTGGTTCCCTGAGAACACACAAATTTAAGGCAGGACGACGTATTGGTCGAGGGCATGGGTTCTGGAAACAGCCTGCTGTTGCAAATCTGGCTCTGCGGGTGAATGTGGGCAGTTATTTATCCTCCTTATTTTTCCTCTTCTGTAAAATAGAGATAACAATGGTACTTACCTAACGGGGTTATTATGGGGTTTCAGTTACTCACTTTTAAATACTTGGAACAATACCCAGCAAAAGGTGAACTCAATAAATGTTAGTTTGGATTTTCAAGTTAATACTAAGAGGTCTTAGAAGGAGAGACGAAGTATGTGAAAAAGAGTCTACGTTTTGGATTTGGGAAGTTATGGGTTTGAATTTCAATTTCATACTTACCAGCTGTGAAATTTTAGCATTAGTTGTATATTACCTCTGTGAACTTCCATATCCCCATCTGAAAGAAAGGAAAAAGCAATATCTATGCCAAGGAGTTGTTGCAAGGAATAGATGACATGTCAAATGTGAAGAGCCCGGCATATAATAACCCATCAATAAATGGTCATTTCTTTCCCAAGTCCTTTCTTTTGTGAAAAGAGAAAATAAGACCTAGGAGAATTGATGCTGCGGACATTTACTCAATCTATAAATAAGATATTTCT